GGGTGTGTGTGTGTTTCAGATGTTCCATTTTGGCCAATGATACAGTAAAATGTGACGTTGGTCTGTACAAATCGCTGCAAGCATGGAAGGACCACAAGCTCCACATCGACCACGAAGTATGACACACGCTTCCACCTTTCTGTCATCCTTTGCTCACATGCATTTTGTTCCAGATCTGTATGACTTTCTTTCTTCCATGGAACATAAAAAAGGGGTGTTTAGCAGAATGTTATGAACAAAAAGAACAATGACCAGCTGCAAAAAAAAAAAAAGCATCAGTAAAACTTTATAAAATTTCACACAACTCATGTATCTTATTCCCATTACAATTTTAATTAAGTACATTTATATTGCATATGTTATATCATTATGTAGCCTACATTTTCATCTTTTTTCCCAGATTGAAACACTCCAGACAAAGATTAAAAACCTTCGTGAGGTCCGAGGTCATCTGAAAAAGGCACGACCTGAAGAGTGTGACTGCAACCAATACTAGTGAGAGTCACATCTGTCTATTATTATCTCTTTACTGTTGTTCTGTATTGGTCCAATTTATTCAGATTCAGATATGTTTATAATTATTAATTAATTTAAAAATAATTCAATTAAAAAATCATATTATTATTGAATTCTTATTAATAATTTTTAATGCTTAAATTAATAATTAATGTATTTAAAGTAATGTATACTTTTAATGTATATTCCGTACAATACCTACAATATATAATAAAGTAAATTAATAAAATAAAGTAAATTAATAAAATAAAAAATAATTAAATAATAATAATAACAATAATAACATTAATTTTATTATAAAAATGAATTACATAAATATTTAATACAATACAAATTCTAATATGTAATCAATATATCGGATACTGAATATGTGAAAATAATTATTTATGTATTGTGTACATTATTTATGTATTGTTTTAATATATTCTGGTTAAAATTCTATTTAGTGATGACTAGTGATACATTTTTCCTCTCTTTTAGTTACAAATCCATGTACAAGAGTAAACTGAGGAAATACAAAGCAGGAGATGTCCATCCCTTCAGGTGGGTTTCTGTGTCTATATGTGTGTGTGTATATGGATGCATGATTACAGTTTTGATTATTCTCTCTGTCTCTGTAGGAAAGGACAGGAGAAGGGTAAGAAGGCCTGGTTATTGTTGGAACAAAAGCGCAGGAAGAAGCTGAGGAAGTTACTGAAGCGCCTGCGTAACAATGACACCTGCAGCATGCCTGGCCTCACCTGCTTTACACACGACAACCAGCACTGGCAGACCGCTCCATTCTGGACATGTAAGACACACACACACACACACACACACACACACACACACACACACACAGTCTGTCTGCGAACAGGCAATGCACAAAATATCAAACCATTGTTTTACTATACCACTGTGACAACATGTCCCACTTTTGGTAAACAAGCTTTTAATCTATCCATATATCCCATTTATATATTTATGTGCACACACACACACACACACACACACACACACACACACAGTCTGTCTGCGAATCTGGACTGGATCAATTAGCATGATTTTTCAGCATGCAGGTTACTCCATTACTTTCATTGAGAAACCTTTTGCGTCAATACACAGACAGGAAGAGCATGGGAGATTTATTGTCTTGAAATTATATATTAGAGTACTATAGAGTACTTATATATTATGTAGTATGATTTTCAACTTAAACAGACACAGTAATTTTGAAGACTACAACACATGAAATTTGTAAAGCATTTCTACTGTTTTCTGGTCAGTCTTTGAAATAAATACTTGTGACTAAAATATGGTCATGCAGGTTCAGAATAAGGCATTAAAATGTGCTTTATAAGCACTAAAAAACAGCCAATATGCTGGTAATATGCATGCTAGTTTATAGTGAGAATAGGTCCTTAAAATGAAAGTGTTACCATAAAAAAAAAATATTGCTTTTACAACTGCATGCATAGAATTAAATGCATCTGGATCTGACGCGTAAGGCAAACAACTGAAGTAATGGGGTTCCCTGCACATTAAACAACAGAAGCTAAATAGAAGGCCAGTTTGTTAAAAAGGACACCAAGGGGTCCCTACCAAGCGTTCATATGTGATCTCACACTTGTGTGAGATCACGTGTCTCACACTTTTCATCTTTGTTTCCAGTGGGGCCGTTTTGTGCGTGCACTAGTGCCAATAACAACAGCTACTGGTGCATGAGGACCATTAATGAGACACACAACTTCCTGTTCTGTGAATTTGCCACTGGATTTCTGGAATACTTTGACATAAACACAGATCCATATCAGGTCAGTGCTCATATAGACAACATAGACATAAAGACAACAGGAAATCACCATGGACCATGTTTACTTTCTTAATAAATTATTCAAATCCCTGGTCTAAATAAGTATTGAAATGGGAACAGAAGTTAAATTGGAAATTCTTATACTGTGACAATATTTAGTCAAAAATGTCATAAAAAATGAACATATAGAATATTAATTGCTGTGCAATGGTGCATGTCTCTCTCTCTCTCTGAATGTGTAGTTGGTGAATGCAGTGAACACACTGGACCGGTATGTTCTCAATCAACTGCATGTTCAGCTCATGGAGCTCAGGGGCTGTAAGGGACACAAGCAGTGTAACCCTCGTACACGCAGCCTCGATATGGGTGAGTCACTCACACACACACACACACACACACACACACATAAATGAAAATACCTCCACAGCGCACACGAACATATACTGTATGCATACACACTGCTGCATCATTCTGCTAGGCATCTTGCCCAGAGGTTGCAACACACTGACTAATACATGTGTCACACACACACACTTCCCTCTGAAAGGACCAAGGCAAAGGATAACATGGAGTTTCACATCTTCATCATCATCATCCTCACCTGATCCCTGGCCCTGCCTTGCTTCCTGTCCTCCTTGTTTTATATGCAAACAGAAACGTGTACCGTCACCTCCTGAGCTGCTGTCCTGAAGGGTAAACATGTGCCACACAGCATGCTGTCTGACAATGTTACCATGTCCTTAGTTGTACCTGACATGTATTCCATGCTCTCGAAGTCATCAAATCCACATGGATGTGACTGAAATTAACTTTTAGCAGAAGTGATCAGAAGAGTCACATTTATTGAGTCACTTATTGATTCACTCGAAATGAACTCAAGGACAGCTCTTGCTAAAGGAAGTCACCGGTGCTTGCAATCTGATTAAATTTCTCAAAAGGTAACATTAAAATGCAAGAGTAGAGTGAAAACTTAAAATGTTTGTAGACAAAGGTTATTTATATTAGCATGAAGTGCTTAGCCAGAAGGGGGGGGGCATAGAAAGGCTGAATAGACCGTTCAGACGGTTGGGGTCATACGATTTTTTTTATGTTTTTGAAAGAAGTCTCTTAAGGCCCGTTCACACCAAGCACGATAACTATAATGATAAATTAAATGCTGAATAAAAAGTTAAACATTGATTATTTCCTCAGTATTTGTATGTATTTTTAAGCTTAAAATCGCAAATAATTATTACGCAATAGACCTTAGTCAGATTAGATGCCATATGGAATTTAACGCAGATGAAAACTGTGAGGGATAGCCTTAAGCCCCATTCACACCAAGAACGATAACGATAAATATATAGTTCTAAAAATCGTTCTCAATATTAAAGAATAGCAGAGTCCACACCACAGCTATAACAATATAGGGACAGAGAAACGATATCGTTGGAATCATTTTCAGAACGATTTTTTTCCAAATAAATTTAAAGCGGCAGACGCATGTGCACTTATGCTGCATTCAAGTCCTCCTGGGACGTTCGTACTTACGAGTTGACAAGTCGTAATTACGACGTCAGGTGCGTTCAAGTCAGTTTAGTCGGCACAAGATGGCTTTTAATAAATTACAAGAAAATACAACAGGGTCTGTTAACTCTGCTTATAGAAAACGAAGAGCAAAGAACTCGCATCAGGTGTGTTTTGCGTTTTTAATATTTTTTTTAGACCAGGATCCCAGTATAACTGATTTTCAGCATCAACAAACGCTAAAATACAGAGATTAAAAAAAGCTGTTAGCTAAATGCAACATGGCAAATCAAAAGATTTTTCACCTATAGGTGCAAAAATTATAGCATTTTTTAACTTGGATTTCATTAACTAGCTGCGTAACAAGAACATGACCAATTTAAGTTTATAGGCCAACTAAACTATCAATTTAAACAAAAATTTACCGTCAACTACAGACGTTGCATCCATCGATTCCGCCATGTTTCTCATTGACACGCCCCCAACTCGGAAACTCGGGGCTTAAAGAACATTTTGAGTATCCCACTCATAATAACTTTGTGGTGGCGTTCATGTGCGTTCAACTTGTAAATACGATCTATCCGACATGACTTGAACGCACCATTAGAATAAACCGACGATATTGTTCGCTGGTTTTGATGCTAATATCGTTATCTTTATAGTTATCTTTATAGTTATTGTTCTTGGTGTGAACGGGGCTTTATGCTCACCAAGGCTCCATTTATTCAATCAAAAATACAGTAAAATTTTATTATTTATTATTTTTTTCTATCAAAAAATCTTCTGACCCCAAACTTTTGAACATTAGTGTGCTTAAACAGCAAAACAACCTTTATTTATTATAGTCTAGCTCATATTTTCCTTTACGTTAAATTGTTTCATCATGCAACCTGTCAGTGATAACATATACATAATTTGATAAAATGACAGATGAATTTGTACAAAAATAATATAAAAAGTTTTCTTGGATATTATGGGAATTGCTTTTTCTTCCTTAAAAAAGTAGCTAACTGTGCACACTTTTATTGTTACTTGCATTTTGTTATTTACATTTAGCATTGCTTGACTTGTTTGAGAAGCTTAGTTTTACACAACAGATTGAGCTTGCCATAAAAAAGTCAGTTGAGATTTTATTGTGCATGAAAGCCATCTGAAAGGGATCAGAATTGCAATTCATCAGCTCAAGATGAACATCAATACTCTGCATCTGCATATTGAGCCTGCAGATTCGTTATTTTCCAAAAGATGACTTTTATCAAGCTCATTTATTCCGACCCTTGCAACTCCATCCACAACAATGGATGATCTAATCTTGGCACTGCGACCTTTCACATGACCCTTGGACAGAAGCCCAGAGTTGTTTTTCCAGTGATGCTTTCGTGAGGATCTTATACATTAATGGGGCTGTACATCACATTGTTTTTACACTCTCTAACTAATGATATTGTCTCTTCTTCAGGGGGTAAAGAGAGAAGCAGCTATGATGAATACAGGTATCACTGCCAAATTAATTTAACCCCGTTGTAGACTAGACGGCTACTGTGAGAATGATGAAGATACTAATCCACTTCTGCAGTTCTGTTGTAGACAGTTTGGAGCTTAAATGTGAATGTTGATTAGTCTGATGCACATCACACACACCTAAAGGCATCACAGGAATTCACTCCTCAATGTGAAATCAAGGAGAAGACCTCTCTGTCATAGAGGATGACGTAGAAACTATAACTGATTTGATATCAATTTGCTGTTAAAGGAATGTTGCAGGTTAAATACAAGTTTGGCTCTACTCTAGAATAAGTCAGAATGCATAATAATAACTTATTCTTCAGTAAAATAAGTAGAGTATCCTGTCTTTGCTCCACAGACTTAATTGTAAGGGTTTTACTGTAAACAATTTTTGCTTGTTTTTAGAGGATGACCAATGAATTTAGCTGATAATTAAGTTGGTAAAACTACAAACAAAATAAAAAAAATATGAAAAAAATGTCAATGCAAAATAAAATAGTGCTAATAATTAGTACAAAATTAACAATAGATACTTAATGATTATTGAGTAAAACAAAAATAAATTGAATTGAATTTTAAAAATCACTGACACGTTGACCATTTTTATTTTCTTTTATTTATAGTATTGTCATGAAATATATGAATGATGCACAAGAAAGGACGAAAGAAAAAATAAAATAAAATTGGTAACTGGTGGCACAGATTAATCAGTAAAAGCAAACCTCTGTCATTTTTACAAACTGAGGAACACACTGATATTATTTTTTGTGGTAACTGGCAGGATAGAGATTAACTAATGAACCCAGAACAGTTACAAATGGCAAAAAGCTAACATTAGATTAACACTGACAGACACCAGAGGGCAAATTGTTCATCCAAAATATGGGAAGCATTGTTTGAAGCAAGTTCAGAAAAACAACTAAATAAAATAAAATAAAGAATAACAAAAATCTAAATTAAACATTTTTTGTATATATGTGTGTGTGTGTGTGTGTGTGTATAACTGACCCCATACCTGTGACCGGTAGTGCAGATATACCTTTTTCTAAGCTAATAGTTAGTTCTTATAAACGTGGGTCCAATTGCAAACATTTCAACTCGCAGTTACTTCCTTGACATATCAGATGTCTTCTCCTTCAGATTCTGTTCTCTCTCTCTGTCTTTGCCTCTCTTGTTTTGTCTCCCTCTCTCTAGCCCTATTCTGTGCCTTGCATGTATTCAGCCTTGGGTGTTGTTGTGTGAATGTGAAAGCCTTCAGTTCTCTGATTGGCTCTGTCTCTATCATATGCTTGAGTTTGGGGGCGGGGTAACAGTTTGTCTTATCGTTGCTTGTCGCATTAGGCAGTTTCAGCGTCGGAAATGGCCTAAAGTGAGGAAGCCTGTCTCCAAATCGCTGTGAGTTTGGATAATAGTTCTGCTTCTCGTCCATAGGATACAATGCCACCAAGCCACTACCTTGTCTTAATCACCGTTCTCTCGCTCCCTTTTTAATTTCCTTTCTCTTGAATGCATCTGCCTGGCCTGCATGATACAGCATTAGTTTGTAGAGGCGTCTATCTGCATGGGAACTGTTTGGAAAAATAGCAGTTTTGTTTCTGAGCGTGAGGGAAGATTCCCATCACTTTCCCCTCATCATCTTCACCTCATCTCACTCGAAGCCTGAAACATTTACGTACTTGCTTCCTTCCTTCACCATCATAAGCCTTTTCAGGGTTTTTGATTGTTGTTTATTTTCTGTTTTTACAATCACAAGCATCCATCTCCATTTTGATGCATCCACTTTTAATCAGTGCCTTAAATTGTTTTGTCGCTGGACGAAAATGTTTAACATTTGTGGCTGTGTTCCCCCACAGAGGACAGATATGGGAAGGATGGGAAGGATAACTCATGGAACGAGGACGTCCCGGAAGACACCAACATGTTTCCCGGTGAGCCGAACTGGTCCGAACTTGAACCTTTGTACAGACTTGATGAGCACGCCTACGATCTCAAACTCAACTTCACCCTCAGCCGCGAGAACTGGGCTCATTTCAGCCGCTCCGTGGACCACATGTTCACGCTCCTCAGCAACGACAACCAGCCGTACTCTCCGCCCCGCCCTGAGGACGGACAAACAGGAAGAGGCCACGCCCTGGTGTCCTCCAGCCAATCCGCTTCAGCCATCTACCTGACCACTCTGGCCACGCCCGCTCTTTTATTGAAGGAAGCTGGCGCTGAGATCTTGAGAGACGCTTTGGGGCTAAACCAAGTGGAACCTCCCTCTTCTTCTTCTCCTCCATCGCCTTCATCGCATCCCATGCGACCTGTCAGGTCACAAGTGGACAATGCAGGCTGGGACGCTCCTCTTGGAGAACTGAAAGGGGACATACAGAGAGAAGGGAGGGACGGTGATGAGGAAGAAAAGGAGGAGTTTGTTCAGAGACGGACAGGAAGGTTAAGCTCCGCCCACTGTGACTGCAATGACATTTTGCAGGAAACGGTTTGACTCTTATGTAATATTCCTCTCTCTCATACCGTCCCATCTCAGACAGACATTGCAAAATACTTCTAAATTTGATGGATATGAAGGAAGAGGATGTTTAATGCCCGCATACAGTTTGTTTTTCTTCTCCTGTATGTTCCCTCGCTCCATTATGGACTGGCCTCAGAAGTGCGGCGACACCCAGCGACATTTCCATCTACAGTCGGACTGTTTTCCCAACTTGTCCATGAGATCGGCTAGGCTTTGAACAGAGCACATTTTTATCTTTTAACTTAGATTCTTTACTCTGTTTTTATTCTTTCATCTTTTTTGATGGGATTTGGGAAGGCTGGGGGTTAAAATTCATAGCAGTAAAACTCCACAAGGATTGAGTTGTTGTGACCGTTCATACTTGACTCAGTTTGAAACCGGTTTTGCAACATAATTCTTGTTGGCTGCTTTTCTCTTTTTTGGTGTCTCCAGAAGATGTCTCACTTTGTGGGACAATGTCTTTTACAGCCTTATAACTTCACTGAACAACACCTCAGACAGGTCAGTGGCGAATGTGTGTTGTGTGAGTGTGAACATGCTGTATCTGAAGTCAAAAGTGAATTTAAGTGTAATTAAATGGAGCTTTCTGGTTTCATTTGTTGCTCCCAGTGTAAGTTTTTTGTGTTCAATAGAAAAAAATCTAAATCTAAATTTCTTACAGTTTCCTGGCTGCTTATTGCAGTATAACAAGTTGAACCAATTAACCAATAAAAACAAAAAAGAAAGAAAAATGGTTCTTTTGACGTGCTGGTCATTATTTGTATTTGACAAAAAATGTATGTTTTCCCCAAGCACACTGAGAAAGAAATTTTGATGTACAAAACATGCCACGTCATATTTGTAACCTTAGCTTGTTCTTAAAACTTTTGCTATACACAATACTACAAATATCAGAGCAAATATATGAAATGTATGTATGTATTTTAATGTGTGTTTGCGATGTAAATGATTAAAGGATATTTTTTATTACACATTTGAAGCTAAACTGACCGCCAGACATAAAGATATCACTCCATCTTGAGGTTTATTTATGCAGCATATTTTTAACAATACACATATTCAGTTTTTTATGGTGATGTATCTAAGGTTGTTTAAATTATTACCTTCCAGATGTATTTCATCCATCCCTGTTTTGAGATCAGTTTGGTTCTTTGATGATTGTGATTGAGATTATAATGTTCAAGAGGGTAATAATCTGATCCCTGATCAGTCCACATACTCTGGGATACTTCATCAGTACAGGTCTGTTCACATATTTCATATCAGTGTATATCATCCACACCTGAGATTGTCTATGGTTGTTTTAAAAACCATCATAATTATTATAAAGATGTATTGTGCATAAACTGGAGGATAGGAGACGATGTGGAGAGGAGAAATTTTCCTTTGGCACTTTCAAAAGGACGGCTGTTTTTGAAAAAGGAATTTAAAAAAGAGATGAGATGGTTTTAACAAAGTCTTGTACAGTTCTATAGATTTATCATACTTATATTTTTGGTTTGGTTTACCAGTGAACATTTGATAGTGCTCATTACTTTGTGAATAAAGTGTTGAATGCTAAAATTGCTTTGTATTGGTCTTTTTTTCCATTGTTTGTGCCATGTGTTATCTTGTGATATTCAAAAAGGGTCATGTTTAAATAATTAATATTTATATTATAGTTAATCAGAATACATAACTATGCAATTTTATAAAATAAAATTATATATATATATATATATTCATTTATTTATTATTATTATTATTATATTTTGGATTCTTGTAGGTTACGCCAGTAGATGCCGACATTTTGTGTATTAGGAGTCAATTAATCATTCAATTAACCAATTCGTTCAAAAGTACTGATTGACTCAGAAACCCTGTGTTCGGGAAGTTACAGCGGTTTATTCCGCTATTGGCTTCTTATTTAACTATTTTCGTTTGGGAAGCAAAAACAGGCTAAGTAACTGTCAATATTGTGTTTAAAATGTAAGTTTTAGACCTTAGTCAGGGTAGAGCCATATTTAATTAATGACAGGAATGAAAACGAGGCTGAGATATGCAGTGTTGGTGTTATTTTATTATTACTGATTAAAAAGTATTATTTTACAATAAGTTACTGTAGTCAGAAAAGTGCTGTGAAATCAATGTATGCTGGGTAATTTTCTTACAAATGGCTGTGAATGAACAGCAGAATGATGCTAACATCAGTAATTTAATGCTCTTGTTTTACTGTGAATTCACATTATAAAGTTGTCTTTAACTGTGCCACTGAGAGAAATTTAGTTGTTTACTACTATACTTGTACTGTAATTCACCATAATGGTTATTGATGATCCCATTTGTTTAGCATCTCTGACTTTATATATTCATATTCAAATTTCTGATCTAGTCATGTCAGAAGTGTGACAAATGAAAACATTTGTCAAAATTATGACAAGCTAGAATGTGAAATAAGCTAATTGCCTGACTTTAAGATAGTCAAACTATTCTTAGGATAAACATGAAGATTTTATTTTAGTATTATTTAAGCATGAAGATTAATCAATAACTTATTTGATATTCATAACATGGATGGATGGATCTTTCACAATAGTGAAGCAACTGCTGAGAAATGTCTTTGAAAGATGACATCAATATTCAACACACAAAACACAAAAATGGTAACACTCAACAAATAAAAACAACACGTACAACATAAACCAACACTAGAAAATAAATAAACAACACAAACTGCTAAAAGTGAACCAAAAACAAGTTCAATAGCACAAATAAAGAACGAGACGAGAGGCGTACGGATCCATATGCAGAGCTTTATTTAAAGATGTGGTCATGAAACAGGCGAGGGTTAGACAATGGCAAACAGGTATGTTGTAGGCACGACAAAAAAGTAATCCACGGACATGCGTGGGTCGGCGAACATAATCCAGAGGGTGAAGCAAACAGGTAATCCAACAGACAGGCTAAATAATCAGGAAACAGGCAATCAGGAAAACTAGGAACTCGAAACTAGGACCGGGAACTGGCTCTGTAATGTTGCTATCACTGACAGGGAGATAAGTGCAAACAATACTCGGCGATTTGAAAGATGAAGTCCATGACTTATAAAGTGTGTTTGATTGGTTGTAGCTGTGTGTGTGTAATCAGTGCAATGGATGATTGGAAATGTAGTCCGGGGTGACATGTGAAAGTCTGTGTAGTGAGAGAGTCATTAAAATGGAAGAGCGACCTTTGGTGGTAATTGGACGGAAGTCCATGAACCGGATTCGTGACAGTTGGGGGTAACGCATTACAAGTAACGCAAGTTATGTAATCTGATTACTTTTTTCAAGTAACTAGTAAAGTAATGCATTACTTTTTAATTTACAAGAAAATATCTGAGTTACTTTTTCAAATAAGTAATACCAGTTACTTTGTTTCCCAATTATTAACTGACAGCTCTCCTGTCCTCATGTTGAGAGAAATCAGGAGTGAGTGCAGAGGTGTTGTGTGCGCTGTGTGAACATGTAGTTCTAGACTAAATGTGAACATGTATTTACTCATCTCACTCGCACAAAAACAGATTCAGTATTCCTCAAAATGAATACAAACAGTCAAATGCAAACTTGTTAAATAACACAAACATCCTTTATGTATTTAATTCCATTTTATTAACCAGTATCTTTGCTGCTGACCTACAATGATCAACCATACTAATAAGAAAAAATGACTTTAGATAAACATAACATTTGTGTTTATTTTTGTTTGTTTGTTTGTTTCTGAAGAAAAAATGAGGCCAAGGCAGATGAGAAAAAGTAACGTAATGCACTAGCCTACTTTCCATAAAAAGTAACTAAGTAATGTAATTAGTTACTTTTGTTAAGGATATAACGCAATATTGTAATGCAATACTTTTAAAAGTAACTTTCCCCAACACTGGAGATATGGCGTCTAACCTGATCTTGTTTTGTAAAATATTATCAATATCAAAATTGCACATTATTCTGATATTCGGAACAACAACACTCTTGCCCGCGTGATATTTAGTCATTTTTTATATCATAATATTATAATCATCATCGTAAATTAAGAGTATCCTCTGCACTGTACTAAAATGAGTCGCACATACTCGTGTGAAAAATATTACTGTACTACTACAGCACCATTGTGACGCAGCAGGCAACTTGTACTGCCCAGACTCGCCAGCAGATGGCGCCACTCGCCAAACTGTGAGCACTGACTGACTGTGAGCACTCATTCTGCCTCAGTGAAACTACAGCAGGCTGCAGTAGAGATCAGATTACTCGAGCATGGCCCGTGCTGAAGAGGGCGGGGGAATAACCCACTCCACTGTCTGCCTCAAACTCCAGTGGGACAGAGAGCCTGAGCTCCGCATTCACAGCCTCAGTTCCTGCCAGAGGACACATCTCACTGCTTTCACTTCCATTAGTCCAAACAATGTGAGGAACATGGCTGACAGAAGGTAAGGTGGATCATTTTGCTGAGTTGTGGATACATGTTGCAGTTGCACAGTGCAGTTCAGCTCAGTTTGCTCATATTGAGTCGAGTGGGTAGCTTTGAAAGAGAAACTATGGTTGTTCATTGCAACAGGGGTCTGGATGTCACATTATTGGGATGTTTTGATTAAATTAAATACAGACTTCATCAGGTGACGCTGTTGCTGTGTTTATAAAGTCTTATGCACGGACTGTGATGTTCAAACAAGTGTTTGCATGGTCAAAGTTCACTGAAAACTGCTTTGAAACCGATTATGATGTTGCTAACCAATTTTAAAGTGATTTAATTAGTATATAAACTATCTGAAGAACTGTCAGGGTTATTCCACGAATGAGTCTTTTGTATCATTAATGAACATGTAAACAATGACTTTACAAATGCAAAACTGACAACAACTTTTACTACGTTCTGTTGTAGGCTTTTTATTTACAACAATCTAATAGATTTTATTTTTGTAATTGTTTGTTTTATTTTCATCATCTTTCTCCATGTTGCCTTTTTGGCCTGTTTCTGTGTTTGATTTGTATTTATTTATTTATTTATTTGTACTTTTAGCAGATTTATTAGCAAATACATGTTTATATATATATATATATATATATATATATGTGTGTGTGTGTGTGTGTGTGTGTGTGTAAACGTGTCAGATTTTAGTGGGCATAATATCGTATTAAAAAGACTTAAGTCTGTGATCCCATGTTTAGGCTCAAACTTGTTACCATCGTAATCTTCCCCTACTAAAATGATTTAGATAAAAAAAATACATTGACATCATCATGTAAACTCTTCAATCACATGTGTTGTCTTTTTGTAATTTCATCTTACATTTTGTTTA